AACTTATTCGGATGATTAGGACTGTTATCATTTCTGAAAACTTTTTTGTAAGTGTTTACATGGTTATTAATGTATATCTGTAAATTCAATATGTTTTGAGTATATAATGATGTTTATTACTTTCAAAAAGACAACTTAGTAGAGAAAAAAGTAGAATATATATAATATAATGAGATCTGTTTATGTCTATTAAAAGTACTTTAAGACCAAACAAGTTTAAGAATATAAAACCATGTTTTAAGGCAAACTCAATCGATCTTATGAGATTTTTAGCAGTCGTGATGATGACAAGAAATCGAGGCATTGTTCAAAAATTCAATTTTTGAACAGTGCCTCGTATATTGGAGCGATTGTTGGTATTCTTATAGAGGCTGTCTTAAAAGAGACGTGAATAATATTTCATTTCTATAACATCCATTCAACATTCGTCTTTTCTGTAAATCACGCGACTCTATCATATCGTATATAGAATTTTTATATATTTGATTAAGACAGAAGATGTGAAAGTTATTAATTTATCTTTGTATACAGTACCTGTTTTTTGAGGACCATCGACAACGTATATCATCACCTAAATCAACATCTGTGACAGGTATTTTGATTGTAGCTGTTCTGTTGAAAATAACATATTGAGGAGAAGCTACCTGTGACACTGGTGGAGTGTTAATTAAACCATCGGGACGTCTTTGAAGATTAATCAAAGATACAATTGACCATCCAGGAAGAAAACTTGTCGCAGCATTCGCCAAAGCCCTCCAAGAGGCACCTTGATAAGCGATCCAAAAATATGTACCTTCATTGAGTGTAATATTAACAGATCGTTGACTTGTTAATACTCCCAATGATGTACTGTATGAAGTACAATCAGTTAAAATATTAATTGGATTACTAGAATAGCCACCTTGAGTAGAACAATTAGCAATACAAGTTAAACTAACACTGGGATATAAAAACCAATTAGTTGAGGTAGGTACATCTGTCAAACAACTTATAGTCGGATAAGTCCACGAATAAGATTGTGTAATAGTAATCCGAATTGATGAAGAAGTCGAATTACGATTTTCTGGTGTCCAACGTATAGTACCACCATTAAAGTGATCACTATCGATGGGATTTGTTCCAATTAATATTAATAGAAATAAAATGATCATTTTATCAAAATATTAAATCTGAAACATATAAAAACAAAATCATTATCTTGTATCTATTTACGGTCTATTTAATAACTTATATTGAAGATTGCTATGATAAGTTTAAAATAATATAATTTCTTTTGTCATTTTTAAAGATTTTCATAAATCTCTCACCAAACATTATTTACATAAAAACCGTACTAAAAAGTTTTGGTTACAAATTAAGTTGGTAAACTGTAACAAATGTTTTATGAAACACAATCTAACAGAGATATTGAAAATCGGCACTTTTTGTTACTTGTCCGTATTCTCATGATCGCCTTAACTTTTTCATATTGCTTCGAATTGATCAGCTATGCCAAGAAGCCTCTTATTTCAACGTGAAAATTCATGATGTTTAGAAATATATACGTAAGCAATCGGCTTATTGGTTATTTACTGAAAAACATATCCATATATTAAATGATGGATTCTTTCAAGTTATCGAAACAAGTCGCAAAGACAATAAAAATATCTATTAATTTGTTGTTTCGACGATAACTCTTCTTTACAAATAAATTTCAAAACATTTCTAAGCATATTCATATAGGTCTATATTTCATTATAGTCTGAAATAATTTTCTGCACTTCTTTGTACTTTTTTAACTTTTTGGTGTCTGCTGTTCATGTAGGAAAAAAAGTAGGCAAAAACTAACTTTTTATTACGGTAAATAGTAAAAAATGATCACAAAAAACAATAATAAGTGAATCTTTTTTATTAACTTTTTTGTCAAAAAGTAACTTTTCTCTTAAAAAAGTTACTTTTTTTACTAAAAAATAATCCTTTATAATAAATAAGTATCAAAGTACTTTTTATTACTGGTAAAAGTGTCGTTAGATATTATTTTCGAAAAAATCTAGTATTAAAAATTATTTTGATACTTCGCTGTGTCATATACGGCAAAATACAGTATGTATACGATCACCGTAAACAGTCGTGCACGGTCGCATACAACGTCGTTTTTCATCGTATTCCTATAAGCTTCTTCTTTCCCCTTCCCTCAACTCCAAATAACAAAAATTAATATTTGGGATACTCAGTTTGGTTCGAGGAGGGAAAAACGGATCCCGGATCTCAGGATTCTGTGGATCCTACTGAATCCTAATGAATGTTTCCAAGTATTTCTAAGACCGTATTAACTTTGAATTTTTCTTGCTTGGCTTGCACTGGTGTCGATTTAGAGCTGATGTAATCAAGCAATTTTATTTTTCAATGGTTTCTGTTATTGTTTTTTCCCATTGTTATCTTCTTCAAAAGACAGATTTCCAGAATTATTAGCACCTTGCAGAAAATTTTTAAAAAGTTTATTGTTGTACACCACAAAACTTAAATATGTTAGGTAATAAGAATCATATATAATATATAAAATTTAAATTTTATTGTGACAATAAAAGCGAGAAAGATTGAATAACTCATCCGCACATCTCACATTATTCAATCAGAGTTCATGTTGAGAGAAATTAAAACAGACTAAGGTTTCGATTGAGACTAACCCAATAATTTTTAATGCGCTTCCTTTTTTTACTTCACTGCTCTTAATCGTGACAGAAATCACCATTATCTGTTATAATTATACTATTTCTCTTGAATACATCTATACACTTCTCTGATAAATACAACGTATATGATGTTTGGATGTGTCACAGCTCCAGCTCCACAGCTCGCGAGAGCTGAGTCGAAGAGCTGGTGGACAGCTCCAGCTCAGCCCCTGGAAGTTCGAGAGGATCACTATAGGTCCTCAAGGGCTATCCTATAGGGGTACTCATAAGTCTCCAACGTCTATTCTATGGCGGTATCCATAGATTCTCAGAGACTGTACTATGGAGGTACCCATAAGTCTTCAAGGCCTATATTATGGGTGCCACCATGGTACAAGTCTTGAGAACCTATGGGTGCTAGATAGGATAGGCATTGAGGACCTATGAATATCTCATAGGATAACCCTTGAGGATCTATGGGTACCCTATAGGGTAGTTCTCGAGGGCCTACGGAAGCAGCTTCAGCTCAGTTTGCTGAGCTGGAGCTGTCACACACCTACTGGCTAATGTCTGTTGTTGTTATAAATTCTTAAGAATATAATTTATGTTAACGAATGTCAGTGGATCCTGATGGATTCTAACGGATCCCACTGGATTCTGGGATCCACGATCTCCTCCTTCACTTATACTCACTTATTGTTGACAAATTCAGTTACTGAGCTGATGAAATATGTAGATTTATTATTTTCATTCTATTTTTATATTAACTTCGACATACGCAAAGTTCGTCCTTTTAATACGAAGTTTGTATTTTTATTGTGCACCCTAGAAGCCCACTAACTTCATTCATTTTAATAAGATTCAAAAAAAAAACAATATAATCAAATAATGATTTTTTTCTTCAATTTTTTCTGTAAATATTAATTATTGATCTTGAACGTGTTGAGGATGTAAGGATGAGGATGAAGGTAAGAAATAAATCGAATCAAGAATAATTTAATGAAAAATAAAAAGCGATAACACACAAAAAACGAATAAATAAATAAGTGGATAACTAGATAAGTAAGTAACTATACAAAGAGATCAATGAATTGATGAAATTAATAAATAGTTTTTTATTTTTTATTTTTTGAAAAATTTTTAAAATTTTTATATAAATTTAATGGAGCTGAAATGAGGGTGGGTGTGTGTGTGCGTGTAGATGTGGGTGTCTGTGTGGGATATGGGATGTGGGTGTGGCTATAACGACAGTAATACCCGTATCCACGTATACCCACACCTTCATCCACACACCCACTCACCCCACACCCACACCCTTCACGTTATGCTTGCAATTTCTTCTCGCTCAAAGACGATGAAATCAGAAAAATAGCCCGTAGAAATAATGCAAAGGAGTTCTTTTCGTTCTTTTTCGAACGACATCACTGTACTGTAATGCAACTGTACTCAGTTACACTGCGATAGGGAGAAGAATATTTCTATGAATGCGTCACTGTTTTTTTTCTTTTTTCAATCTCGTTAAAATGCATTAGTTGATGGATTCTTTTTTATCATCTATAGTCAATATAAATACACAAAAGATGTAGCTGTTCCATTGCTTCTTCGTAAATTTGATCAACAACAGTGAACAAAAGATTAAAACAACATAAATAGTGCGTCGAAAGTTTTTATGCTTGAACGATAACAATCTTTTCTGCCTAGGCTTCATCACAAAACAAAATGCGCATTGTTCTAATTGGTAGAACAAGAAATGTTAGGTGTTAAAATCAGACTTTTTCTTTTGCATTGATATCTCTTTTGTGGTTTAAAGGCAAAAGTGCTACTAATAATTCGCTATTGGATATGCGCTCTGCCTTCAAATCGAGCAAAGAGTTCTGCTCGGTGACACAACATTGTTAAAAGGAAACGAGTACCGTCAATGACACTGGAAAGAAATTGATCTTTGTTGATACACCGGGATTTTTTTATACAGGCACGAAAAATAACAAGACTGAAAAACGAGACTGTCTCGAAAACATTCAATATGACGCATCCAAGTGTGCATGCTTACGGCACGTTTTACATAAGAAAAAGAAACAGTCAATTTCATGCAAAAGATTTTTGGGCCAGAAGCTGTTCCTTACTGCATTGTGGTCTCCACAGATGATGACAACTGTAAAAATAATCTCAAAAATCGTTTAACGCGTCCGTGGGTGAGGGTGTGGGTTAGAGTGCTGCACGGGTGCACTTTTTTTCACCCGAAACCGGACCGGGACTTTTTTTCGTACCCGAGTCCGAACCGACCTGACAACTCCGTACCCGGATCCGACCGGCAGCTATTTATAAATATAACATACCCGGCTACCATTTTCACGTGCAATCAATTTCAAACTTTATTTCATATGAAAAAAATATACAATCTACTTAAATAAATAAACAACAAAAACACGTATCTGAAATTACGTAAAAAAACGAGTGAATCAAGTGATTCAGCACTCAATAGTTGTCTTCTTGTTTCCAAAATTCTTCCAGTTCCACTAAAGATACGTTCACTTGTTGCTGATGATGCAGGAATAGAAAGTAATGCTAGTGCTAAACGTGATAGTTGTGTATATATACAGGAATGTTTTTTCCACCATGACAAAACATCTTCACCACTTGAATAATTTACTTTACATTTCATATATTCGATCACTTCATCATATGGTTCTTCGTCATCTGTTGATAAATTTTCATTTGAAATAAACTCTTTCAATACATGATCAACACTAATATCATCACGTTTGGCACGTTTATTTCTTTTCTTTTTTTTTTATTATCATTATCATTTATCAAGATCACTTGATATAAGTCTTCATCATTACTAATACCACGTGTGTTGAGGATTTTTTTAACTGTTTTTATTATTTCATTTCGTTCATTTTGAGTTAATAGCTGAAACGAAACGAACGAATTAAGATTGCTTTCAATTTATCACACTTACTGGAAGCGATTTAGTTTCAGGATGAAGAAAGGTAGCGATGTAGTGAATGTCCGTTAACCATAACTTCGCATCAAGCTTTGTTAATAGTTTCTTTTTCAATTGAGCAATACATGGACGATCAGTAGCTTTTATTTCACAAGATTTTCTGAATTTATAAAACCATGGTAAAACAGAGTGTAAAGTAGAAACATTATCAGCAGATAATTTCTCGCTACCAATTTTAAATACGGAAAGTAAATCAGTTATATCTTTAATTACATGTGAATCAATATTACTAACATATTATTCTTCTTTTCGACTTGCTAACACTTGTTCAACGTCATTGTAGTTCAACCAAACAGACGATAAAGTATCATATGTTGAATTCCACCTAGTACATATATCTTGTTTTAATGTTGATTCAAGATTTTGCTGAAGTTCAGCTCTTTAAAAATGTGTAACTAATTCGCAACAATCTGAAACTAATGCATCAATTACAGTACATTCTTCAAGACTTTATTTAACAGCTAAATTAAGGCAGTGGCACACACATCGTATATGTGCTTCACCATATAAAGGAGAAATTAAATTAGAAGCATTGTCCGTAAGATAAATAATTTCATAGCCATCAGAATCAATTCCAAAAGAATTTAATATATTTCTTATAATTTTTTTTGTATTTTCTAAGAATGATCAGCTAAAAGTCAGAATATAAAATCCATATGAAATTATAAACTTACCACCAGTTTTAGCTTCGCTTATTGAAACAGTTTTTAACATAAAATTTTTCATTTGTCCATCTTTATTGTAATGCAAATTTACTGTTAAATAGCTATCTGAAGTAAATTTATTTTTCCAAAAGTCGGCTGTAATACCAAAAAGTTTAATTTTCTTCAAATCAGGTATTCATGATTCAATTAATTTTACACAATCTTCTGAAGAACAAGAAGTATACCAAATAGTCAGCTATATTAGTTTGACATACCTTCAGCTAGTTTTTGTACCCGACGCGAGATTGTCGTTGGATCCGGAATAATATCAGCTGCTTCAATTGAATGAAAATTTTGACGTGCAAGATCTAATAAAGATTGACATAATATTTGGAAACCATGACCACGAACAGATTCGTATGGATGTAAATCATAAGCACAAAATTTCGCACATGTTTCAGTAAATACACTCTTCAGATCAGCTAGTATATTACTATTATTATCTTTGTTCATCATTACGATGATGTCTTGGTTTTTGCTTGAACTAGGAGAACTACTACCAAGACAACCTTCAGCATGTGCTTTATGAGTACTTAAACCAGTTTTACATGATTCATAAGCAAAAATTGATAAACATTTAGTACATTGTACAAATGGAATGATATTTCCTTTATCATCTTTCATTCGAACAAACGTGTTCCACCACTGTGGGGTTGCTGATGGTGGTTTAGAACATATGTTAAAAATACCTTGTTCAATTTTTTTTTAACATTTTCTTTTTCTCTTTTTGGAGTATTCATATTGACAATATTTAAAATCAAAACTAGTTAAAAAATTAATTTTAAGTATCTTGAATCTTGAAAAATAACAAAACAAAAGCTTTTTTTCGTTTCTACGATTTACTCTTTGGTGAAAGTGATGATCCAATCGACTTTAATTCTTATCCCAATATCTCGACAATAGTAAGTATCAGTTTGAAATAGTAAAAATATTTGTAAAAGTTGTGATGTCACTAATTGCCGGTTCGGGTCCGGGTTTTGTCTCACACTTGGACCCGGGCCGAAATTCTTTTTTTACTCGGCACCCGAACCGACCCGAAAAATTTTACCCGAACCCATGGTCCGGTTCGGTTCGGTTTCGGGTACCCGACCGGGTTGCAGTACTCTACTGTGGGTGTGAGGTGTGGGTGAGGGTGTGGGTGAGGGTGTGGGTGTGAGTGGGTGTGGGTGTGGGTGAAGAGAAAACTAAGAACAACACTCACACCCACACCTCACACCCACACCCACCCACATCCTCACTGTGGATATACTCATTTGAGAATTAAAAAAGTCCTTGATTGTGTGTGCATGTGTGATAACAAGTCGAGAGAAAGTGGAAAGAAATATCAATGGTACGAGAAGAAGAATTTATTCAATAGAGAAAAAAAGAGAATAAAATTTAAAGTGTTACTCGAATTTTTTCAAATGTTTCTTTAAAGTCCAAAAGGTGAGGATGATCCGAAAATAATTTTGCTTGAGCAATTTCTATCGCTTTTTGAACATTTTCCATCGCCATACTATATTCTCTAGTAGCCAAATATAATTTTGCCAAACTATGATTGATAACAGCTAAGTCGGGATGATCATTTGGTAGATTCCTTTCGTGTATTTCTAATGCTTTTTGAAAAAATGCCAATGCTGTTGCATAATCTTTCATTTCTCGATAAGTCTCACCTATATTCGCATATATTGTTGCACATTCTAAAGGACTACATGGCACACTTTCTTGAATATTCAATGCTTTTTGATGATATGAAAGTGCCATTTCATAATCCCCTAATAATCGATGAACATCACCCATGAAACTGTATGTCATACAAAATTTTGAATTTTTTTCAGTCAATGTACGATTAAATATTGTGAGACACTTTTCAAAATAATCAAGTGCCTTGGAGTACTCTTTCATACTGTGATAAATTCTTCCGAATTCAATATATGTGTAAGTGAACTGTGGATTACCTTCTTCAAATATTTTTTGCTGCATCTCAAAAGAATTTTGAAGAGTCTTAAGAGCTGATGCGAAATTACCCATTCTTTGGTAACATGCTGCCAAGCTCCTATAACTAACGATCAAATCGGGGTGATCCGGAGACAGAAATTCCTCTCTGATTTTAAGTGCTTTTTCGAAAAACTCAAATGCTTTCGAATAGTCACCCATGTCTTTATACGCAAGACCTATGCTGTTGTAGGAGAAAGCGAAATCGGGATGATTTGGATGAAGAGATTTTTCTCTTATTTGAAGTCCTTTATTGTAATAGTCAAGTGCTTTCGAATAGTCACCCATATCTTGATACGCAAGACCGATGCTGCTGTAGGAGAAAGCGAAATCGGG